GCACACAAGTGTGCTACTCAACAACCACACCACAACCAAACAAACAAACCCATAGACACCTACACACACCATGCGAATTATGTATAGTTACCCGCTCGCTGAAGTCAACGGTGCTTCATACCCGAGAAGCAAAGGTCGTCAAAGGGAAAAAGCGGCATGTCAAATGAACAGGAAAGTTGGGCAGACCACTGGCTGCTGATGGGCAACTTAAGCATGCCAGCATACCACTCAGTTTAGCAATACACATCATCACTCGCCCAAGACTGGCATGCATTTTGCGTTCATTCTGGCTGAAAGTCCTCTGCAGTTTAGATATGTTTGGTGCTAGTCTTCACTTCAAATGAAAGCAGCTAAAAGCTGGCTGTCCGTGTGCAACATGCATTTTCATTGTTGTACACTAGACTAGCCATCAGAATTCTATCGGACAAGGATCAACCTGGATCATGTGTGGCACGCCGATGTTTGCAAAAACACCACCAGTGCGACATGTCGTTACGTCTACACCTTCTAGAGCAACTACGTAGCAAACCAAACGAAGAAGACTTGCAGCACAGGGTTTTGACCCGCCCTGGTGGGCCGAACGGTTCAACCTTTATCTTCTTGGGCCGGATTGAGTGTGCGATCACAGCATGATGGTGGCCGCACTCTGCGACAAACCGTTTGAACCAGCGTTTAGTGCAAAACACCAGAAGCAACCAGCGTCACGTAAGTTCTAGAACACTGAGGGCTGCAGGGGATGTTGTGCCACAATTGAGGCGATGTGTCTTCAGAGAGTGTTGAGCCTGAATATCCGGTGATCCTTTCCAATCCACTGCTGAACGATGCATTTCGATGGTGAAGCTACCAGTATGTGGGCAGGTGGTCGGCATAAGGATTCAGAGATGTGCTTCCCTCTGACACTTGAGAACTCATCCGTTGCCAGCTGCCAGCCCAACATCGTCCGACCGGGCTGGGTTGTTCGGTCTTGGTCTCCATTCTTTCAGGTTCCGGGCCCAGGCCGTAACAATTCGATTCATCTGCAAAGCTGGTACAAGAATCGGCTGGAGCCGGTGGGGGCCTTCAGTTCCTCGAGCTTTTTCACGAAGGCCTCTTTCAGGTCGTCGGGATGGTCATACAACCACTCCTGTCATTTTCTCGGCCCACAGGTCCTACCCCAGAAAACACCAGAAACCCTGGACTCTGAACCTAAAAAGCATGCCTTGAGCAGCTTCAAGATCCCCTCCAACAAAACAGAAACAGACACTGGCTCTCGAAAATGTCCTCGGCGCTTTCGAGCTGCTTCGACAACATCTGGCTGTCCTCTTCCTGCAGCAGCGGGTCACGTTTCCATGCTCGCGATCCTACTGACAAGCACCCCTTCCTTGCGCAAAACCGCATCTCGTGCTGCAAGCAGTACAAGCCCTCCCTGTTGCCGGTGACATCATCTATAGAAACAATACACCACATGCCATGCAATGCTCACCCCAACTACTTCCGCACATTCGTCGTGGTATGTTGTTCTTTTGTGCAGCATTCCAGCATGCACGGAACCGGACGTCGGACACCTGTGCTCCGTGTTGAGGCCGTGGTGATGCTGCGGGGTACCGTAGCACACAGCAGGGACACTGCTGCAGTCATCAGTAGGGTCTGGCCGGACATGGGGGACATCCGTTCCTGTGGCGTCTGTGTGCCAGTGCTTTCGTGGCATACCGCACCCAGCACTTCATTCGCGTTCGGACTAGGCCTGGCTCTGGATGACCGGTTTTTGTAAACTACGGCTGTTGCCGCAAGAAGCACCACGTCGAGAGAGGCAGCACACACTCCTTTGAATCACTACTCACCGAGTATGCTCTGCCACGCTACTAGACGCTGTTGATATCTTGGATGACCGACGCCAGATAGCGCCATCTACTGGTACGCATCACCACTGGGAAAGCGTGGTCATTGTCATGCAAATCGTCCTGAACTGTTGCCTATTCTTGGAACTGCCGACTGGGACGAAACTGGACGACAACCCTCTGCAAGATCCTGCTGTGGGCTTGTGCGCGCAGGCCGAAAAAGCTCGAAAGGATTTGCCTGCTCTCCAGCGAGCTCAGGACATCTCCAGTCAGCACAATGGTCGTGATTCACAAGCCTGAGAGATGCCTCTGATTCTGAGAGGACCCCAGCTAAGCATCAGCAGCATCAACACGAAGGGGTCGCTTTTAACCTCCATGAGGAAAGCAAAAAGATCAATAAGGACC